AAAAAAAAAAAAGGCAACAACCATCTATATGCCTTGTTTCCCTGTTAATCTCTATTATTAGTTTGTTTTAGAAGCTGAAATTACCAAAACTTCAGGGTGTCTACTTAAAAGGAAGGGGTTGAGGAAGGAAGGGCTGAGGCACAAATCGTGATTTAAAGAGTTTACTTGAGCCAAAGAGAGGACAGCTGCCTGGAAGACTCAGACCCAAGTAACCCTGAGTATGAGCTCTGTTCAGCTTTGAAAGTCGAAAAAAAAAAAAAAAAGAAAAAAAAAGAGGAAGGGGAGGGATAGGAAGTAGGCTGATACAAAGTTGTTTGTCAAGAACTCTCACTGGTTTACAAAATAACATTGATTAGTAATTGGCTATACATCCTTAAGCTGTAGGGTGTGTGTTATAGTGTCTGGTGTGGCATTGTTAGAATGATTTATAGCTATTTGTGGCAATAGCAAGCAGTTTAGCGATGAATACATAGCTCAAGGGAGGGAAACAGGACATGACTGAGGTCTCACTATATTGCCTCTCTGGGTCTGCTAATTTAAAAGAGCTCACATTCCTCAGATAAAAGTTATTTTCTTTCCTCAAGGGGAAAAATTTTAAGTTCCCTTCAACTGTCTTTATTTAATAGGAAACACATGTTCTCTTTTATCTCATTTAAAATATAAAACATACCTTTTTAATTAGGAAACGGTGTCTTGTTCTATTGTCAGACTGGAGTGCGATGGCGCAATCTCAACTCACTGCAACCTCTGCCTCCCAGGTTCAAGTGATTCTCCTGCTTCAGCCTCCCAAGTAGCTGGTACTACAGGCACCCGCCACCATGCACCCCCCTAATTTTTGTATTTTTAGTAGAGACAGGGCTTCACCATGTTGGCCAGGATGGTCTTGAACTCCTGACCTCAGGTGATCCACCTGCCTCGGGCTCCCAAAGTGCTGGGATTACAGACATGAGCCATTATGCCTGGCCCCAAACACACCTTTACACTTACGTTTCAAGAAATAAATCTCTGTGAAAGAAAAATTTCCCTTTAAGTTCTTAACAACTCTACTGAGTGCCTGGAGTTGACCAAAGATGATTCCAAAATTGTTGGTGGTCTTTCCATTGAGAAGAAGGTTTATTTTTCTTTTCCTTGACCTGGGGCTGTATTTGACCAATTGCATATGGTGAAAGTGACTTGTATTTTTCCCCCTTGGATTCTAAAAGCTCTCAGCTGTCCTGCTGACAAATTCCCTTGGTGAAAAGACAGGCTGGAGAGGCCCTAAGGCCACATTTTGGGGAATCACTGCCAAGGCACCAGACAGTGAGGAAGATTGTTGACACTTTATACATCAGCTGCTAGCTGAAGTTGATGCTACAGGCCAGCTGAGACCTGCCTAAATTCCTGTCCCATGAAATCATGGTATCTAAAAATAGTTCTTGTTTTGAGTCATCAAGTTGTGAGATTTTGTGTTATATAGCAAGTAATGATTGTAACCATAATAGGTTCACTTGCTCAATGCACAGCAAGTGAACATACTGAGATACCAGGGACTGCGGCAGAGTTTAATAATCATACGAGGAGAAGAGAGGAAACCTCAAACCCGCCTCTCCAAGGAGTATGGGGCTTGAGGTTTTAAGGAACTAAGAGAGGGCAGAAATGTGGGATCCTTGATTGGTGGAAGAGTGCAGAATGAAGACATGGGGTGAGGAGAGAAAGAACTGTGTTATCATGCTGATCTCCTTCTTCTCCGGGGCTCTACAAACTGGTTACATCAGCCTTCTGCTGGAATTCAGGATCTCAAGAACATCTTGAGCAATTCTTAAACAAAAGCCTTATGATTCTAACTTCAGAAATCCTACCTAGAGAAGCAGTGGGCATGCAAAGTGTCAGTGTCTGGTGCTGTGTGACTCTTGGTTACAAGGAAGAGGACCAAAGTGAAGACTGATTTATGCTTCATTGTAACTATATTTCTGTTTCAGAAGCTGACATGTAGTTCTTGTCAATTCTATGAAGACAGTTTCATAGACAGAGCAGGGCCCAATGCTGAATCATTTTTTTGTTTTGTTTTTTTACTTTTCTTCCTTTAATAAAAGTAAAAGGGCATTGTATTAAGATTCAGTGCCGCGCTACGGCTGAACCATGAGGTTAGGATTCCTTTTCCTCGGAGGGCTTCTCAGCTTTAAAGCTGGAGCAAAGTTTGATTTCTAAAGCATTTTTTTTTACTTTAATATCTAATAAAATACAGTTTCTTCTTCAAAGAGGATCTCCACGTAGCCATGAAAAAATACTTTCAAATCAAAAATAAAAGCAACATAAAAAAATAGCCCGATTCAGGAAAAAATAGGGGAAAAGATTCATTTGTGATGCTCACACAAATATATTTGTACCAGGTTACAGAGAAAAACAAAGGAAAGAGATCTTCAGTCATGGACCCCTTCCCTCTCAGGAGGGTTTCAACAATTTAACTGCAAAATGCAGAGGTTGGTAAAGAGAACAGCAACCCTCGGCAACAGAGTTACTAACCACAGAGGTTGGTGGGGGAGGAGGAGGATGGGTATCAGAAAAAACAAACAAGAGAGAAAGAGCTGAGTACGGAGATGGATTGGGATTATTTGCTCAATGCCTGTGTTAATCAAGTTTATTCTATCTTTTAAAAAAAGTTAAACAAGAAATGCCAATTATTATTTTCTTTTAGCATGCTGGTAAGAAAGGTTGTATAAACTCTTCCCTAAATCAGGAAAATGCTCAATTATGATATTTTTTATTTTTCTAGAAAGTTATTTTCATTTTCAAATGTACTTTACTGGCATCTGAAAAAGAATCGTCAGGGTGCAGTGGCTTATACTGGTAATCGCAGCAGTTTGGGAGGCAGAGGCAGAAGAATTGCTTGAGCCCAGGGTTCAAGTTCAGCTGGGCAACATAGGTAGATCCTATCTCTAAAAAAAATTTTTTTAAATAGCTGGGCATGGCGGCTTCAGCCTGTAGACTTAGCCACTTGGGAGGCCGAGGTGGAAGGATTGCTTGAGCCGGAAAGGTTGGGGATGCAGTGAGCTATGATTGCACCAACTGCCCTCCAACCTACGTGAAAGAAAGCAAGGGAGGGAGGGAAGGAGGGAGGAAGAAGGAAGGAAGGAAGGAAGGAAGGAAGGAAGGAAGGAAGGAAGGAAGGAAGGCAGGCAGTTAAGAAAGGGGCAGGGAGTAGGTTTAGCAATGTGCAATGAGCATCTAATAAATTATAGTTGCTTCTTCAAAGAGGATCCCCATATAGCTATGAAGAGGTATCTACCCATAGGTGAATACACGTAGGTGAAGGGATATACAATACAGGGTAAATTGAAGGACAGAAAGGGAGCCCAGAGAGCCATAACGCAGGGTCAGTCTCCTTCCCAGAAGGAGTGTGGGGTGGTTGACACACTTCTCTCTCACAGCAGGACTGGGCTAATACAGCGTGGTCTGGCACAGGAGAAGATGCGTGGCTGCAGCCAGGAGGAAAGAGGAGCAGAGTCCGGGGTTTCAACCATCCCTGAAATAAAGGATGATGAGGGGATTGCTGCTGATCAAATACCTGAAGAACAGAATTTCTGGGTGGCAAAGAAGTGACATGGAGTCTGACAAGACCAGAATATGGGCACCGTGGGGCCCATGGCAGAAAACCAGAAGAAAAGAGAAAGCTAGACCATTTGATGTTTTGTGGTTTCATTTATCCGGCTTGTTTTTCCACATTTAAGATGTTGAACTTGTTTGTAGGGCTGGGAAAGAAGAGCTCTGAATTTGAGGATCAACTTTGCCTTACTTGAAGTAGTTTTCTTCACTTTTTTAGTTGTTGGGCCCTACTTGGTGTTCCCTTAAAAAATTTCAGGATCTTTTACCCTATGGAAGTCAAGTTGCTACCATCAGCAATAGCCAACCCCGGAGTGGCAGGAATTCTTGCTGTAGGTGGTGATCTAGTGACCTAAAAGTTGCTATCTGCCTACTGGGAGGCTGGTAAGCAGCCCGGCACTCCCATCTCTCCAGTGTCCTCTCGCTCTGGTCTTAAAGTCTCCAAGGCCCCAGGCTAAGTAGAAACCCAGCCAATGAATAAGTCTCCCAAGGCTTTTCTGCCCCCAAGGTTATCCCCCTAAGACAACACAGGTGAACAAAGGCTTCCCTCCTTCCAGGACTGCTTGTTAATCAAGGAGGGCCTGAGTTTCTCTCCCACCCTCTCACTCCTAGCAGAGATTCAGGCTGGCCTTGAGCTGCTACTCTAGGAATCCCTTCCTTCTTCTTAGACTCACGGTTGAACACAATGCTTCTCTTTCTTCCCGGAAGGCAGCAGCTCCTGAAACTTCTCAGAAAGCTTCCAGCCTCTGCCTGTTGGGCCTCAGCGGCTGATTGGCTTTGTTTCAGCAGTTGGATCACGGTTGGGAGGAGGGGTTTGCAGGGATATTGAAAGGAAAGTCCTTCAGTAAAGGAAGGAGGCCTGGTGAACGGAAGTAGAAGATTCACAATTGGAGTCCAAAAAATAGAATGTTATTCCACAGGAGAAGGTAATAGATGTCAGACACCAAAAGCAGTAAATCATCTAGAGGTTAGGAGGGGAAGGAGAAGGGAGTTAAAATGCAGCAAAGATGGATGAGGAGGCCACTCTGGAGTGCAGGGAGAAAGAATGCTGTGACCAGTGAGTCACAGGGAAGAATTGAGACATATTATATCCATATTAGGGAGAGTATATATATATATACACACACATTCCCTAATTCAATGTAATATATATATTATAATGTTCTATATACATATTCTCCCTAATTCAAGGTAATGTCAAAGAGATAATATAAAATATGTGTGTATTTATATACGTATGTTACTTCATTGAGACTCCATGTTCTCATAATTTAATATCTAATTCATAGAATTTTTAAAGGATAGATGAGGTAAGGAAAAGAAAACACCAAAAACATAGGTAGGCAGGCAGCAAGGCTATATTCCTCACTCTTGTCTCTTCCTGTTAGACTTTAAATTCCTTGAAAGCAAAAACTGTGTCTTGTCTATCATTGCATTCCCCAGCACTTAACAGTGCCGTAGCTTAGTAACTGTTTCGCGATGCACGAGGTAGTCATTTTGGATACAGAATTAGCAGAAGGCGGTCACGATGGGGGTAACAAGTAGTATCGTATGAAAAAGAAGAAAATATTATTAATGTGATATAATAATAATTTTAAAGCATTATTAAAATATTATTATTATTATTATTATTAATGTTTTGGTTTGAAAAAGTAGCTAGAATAGCCAAGATTGATACCTAATTTATTATTTGCCCAGTATTGTGCTAAGGACTTGGTGTATATCTGCTCAGTGAATCTTGATAGCAACCCTATGACTCAGGCATAATTTTGACTCCCATTTTATAGATGAGGACCACAAAACACTGGGAGCTTAAGTAATTTGCCTAAGGCCATACAGTAATAAGTGACACAGCTGGGATCTGTATACAGTTGTCTGCCTTCATTCCTGGGCTCCAAACCACTGCAAACCAAACCACATACAACATAACCATTGATGAAATGGTAATATGTTTATCCAACACATAAACGTTTTGGCAAGGTTAAAACATTTTAGAAAATGTAATGGGTTCCTAACTTAACTGATGTTCCCATGTGAAAGGAAATAATTATCAAAAGACAATAGCTTCCGTAATCACCACATTTCTTATTTTTTATTTTTTAAAACGAATCTTCAACATACTTACTAAGGCATACAGTTATTTTTGAGCAGTCTACGAGATAAGTATTGAGAAACTCTCTAGAATACAACATTTCCAAAACATCTGGAAATTTTGTGTGCTGTAAATAATGTTAGTAATTTAAGGTTGGACAAATGGATTAGAAAAATAAATGGAAAATATTTTAAATGCATATCCTAAAACAGTTATCTAAATCTTACTAGGAAAAAAGATATAAGCATATTAACGTTTTTGCTTTCTGGATTAATGGTAAAATTATGAAACTACCTCTATCATTTTCTTAATTCAGTGGAAGATCCATTTTCCAGGGCTATATAATTAATTATAAAATAACCTGTTAGTAAGATTCACAATGAATATCTGATGTAAAAAAAATTTATTTTAATATTTTATTCTCCATTTTAGCTTATTTTATTCATGTGCGTGTTTTACATACAAATCCAAGGAATTTTAAGGAGGAATATTATAAAAAGAGAAGTGATCCACTATTTCTCCACTCTAGTATTGGACTAGCTATTTTATATACTTCTTTCCTATGATAATCCTACCTTCATTTTATGAATGAGAAGAGATTGAGACTGAAGCTAATGAACTTTTCTAAATTTACTGCTTAGGGGTGGGCATGGGGTAGTTCTCTCATCTGACTCTTTCAAAAGTTGTTTCTCTTTATGTAGCCTTTCACTGGTGCAACACATTTGATGTTCCAAATTCACTAACACAATGAACATTATGCCCTATTATAATCCTATTGGACCTTATGGCCTATTACTCTGTCTGATAATTGAAAAATAATAATCGTATTGAGATACATTAGATTCTAAACTTTACCTCAAGTCATAAAACCAACTAGCTACAATGTGAATACTTAACATCACCTCCTCTGCCTCCCCTGTCTTTTCCATCACAGGACTTTTTTTTCCATACAAATACATTATAAAACTTTCTGTGGCATGTAATTTGCCACCAGTTGAATCATTTCATAGTTGTCATTGTATCTCTTTCAGAATATTAAAGAGGCCTCGGGCATGTTAATTATTCTAATTTGGGCGTATTAACTTTATAATTGTTCTTATACTGGTTATACATTAATGTTAAACTTTCTGATAAAATTTGCCTTGAAAGTTATAAGATAATTTTTTCTTTCTGTCAGAAATAGCATATGCGAAGACATTTGGACTTGACTTTATAGGCAATGGGATGGCCTTACGGAGCTTATGAACAGACCATGATGGAACTTGACTTGCGTTTTAGAAATAACTAAGATAAAAGTATGGTCAACAGCTGATGGAGAAAGACTCTGCAGACAATAACACACGTCTAGAAGCCTTTCCAATTGTGTAAGTAAGAGGTAAGCTGATAGTAAAGGTGGCAAGTTGTAGAAAGATTTCGGAGATACTCAGTGATCCCATAAGAAAAACTAGAAGTGTTATTCTGTTTTAGAGAAAAGAGGAGATAAATAATAAATTGAGTTTGGGACATTAAAGGGCTTTCTATGTAAAAGAATAAAATAATTGGCTGGTATTTAGAAGATGGGACCTACGGATTTCTTCTCCAAGGTGCTCAGTTGTTTTTGCTACATTTTTCCTTTTACAAATGTTTTGACCTGAACAAAGCAGAACTGACTAAGATGAATGAGCACTGGGGTATAACGGAATCACCAATATGGAAAAAAACAACAACTGGCCGGGTGTGGTGGCACATGTCTGTAATCCCAGCTACACAAGAGGCTGAGGCAGGAGAAGCCCTTGAACCCAGGAGATGAAGGTTGCAGTGAGCAGAGATTGTTCCACTGCACCCTGGCCTGGGTGACAGAGTGAGACTCTGTCTCAATTAAAAAAAATAAATAACTATAAGTTTTCCCAACTCATAGTACTTAAGCCTGCCGTTTTCATAAAAACTAGTTTCTAAACTAGACACGGCTGAAAAAAAAATTCACTTTCCCTGAGAGAAAGAGTACTGAGGTATAAGGTCAGACAGCCCTTTTTTAAATCTCCTGATTCTACTGGGTAATCAATGAGCTGTTCAGCGATAGCCTCATCTTTAAATTGAACTAATAACATTATCAGTCTCGTAAAAGATTTAATAACGTAATTCATATGAGCAGTAGAGGTCCTAGCATGTAATACATGCCCCCAGAACATTAGCCACTATTATTTATTATTTCCCAGAAGTAGAAATATATATTTAGCTACAGAAAAATTTTAAAACATAGCTGTTATATACATATTTATAACATATAGATTTGTGTGAATCTACAGTACTATCTTAAATGATAAATACATTATCTGCATTGAATATTGGTATAGAGATCAAATGATTATAAGGTACATTGCTGTTAAATAAGATAGAGTAATTTATATTTTCAAAAATTAATGCTATGTTTATCTTTCAAAGGTAACCTTGACATTCTTTCTCAATTTGGAGAATAAAAAATATGAGGTTTTTCAACTCTTCTACAAGTTAATAAAACAAAAGGCGACTAGTGAAAAAATGTCAAATAATTATAAAAAGGTACAATTTATTAATATAAAAGTATAAAGCAAATACAACACATTCATTTAAGCTTGACGGATGTAGACACAAACTTTCAAATTGGGTTGTCAGTTTTATCAAACTTGGAATAAACACACAAACACACTATTTACAGATTTTGGTAAAACTAAACAGAAACGGAACAAGTAGGACATTTATTTTTCACAGAACTAAAATGACACTAAATGACTTATGTACTTACAAAGAAGCAGGTGAAGTTCAAAGGACAACTTTATTTCTTCTTGTTGTTGTTTTTATGGTATCCAAATGAAAACCAAGACATATTCTCCTGCTCTTTTACTTATAATGATGAAACCTCAAGGTCTGTACTGAAATATGTATTAAAATATACCCATACATATATGATTTCTTGCCAAAAGGCATCATTCTTCTTCAAATACAAAAACATAATAGGAAAAAAAATTTTTCATTTTCCTAAAACAATCTTAGATCACATTTTTATCTTTCTTCTGTGTATAGCCCTGGAAAAGTAGTTTGAATGCAAAGCCCCTTGACAAAATATCTGCTTTTTAAAAATGTTAATTTAATATACAAGAAAAAAAAAAAGCCTCTGGGAGAAGATGATAAAAGAGTTAGAATTTCTAACTCCTAGGCTGAAAAACAGCATATCAGAAAGCCATTCAATTTCCTTTACAATGCTGATTAAAGCTTTCATTTTAACCTTCATTGTAAATGGAGGACATTAATCCCTAAGCTGTTTTTAAACAATTAATATTAACCTTCTTCAATTCTACCCATGATTTCCCTGAAAAGCAATAGTTGAGTTGTATTTATTCAGTGTAAGGGATAGGTATTTCATTTTAAATAAAATCATATAAGCATGTCTCTATGTGAGATATAAATGTTATACTCATCTACGTATATAATGCTAAGTCATGGAGAAATTACAGTGGTAAAATAATACAGTCATTAGCAATGTCATTTTGAAGTAACTGATAAAAAGAGTAAATGCTTGAACCGTCTTAGAAAACAAATTACTGTACTTTCTAGAACAGTCTAGTACTTTCTAGAACAATATCTTATTCTGCTGAAATAGCTTGTAGAATCATAAATAGCTGATACACAGTTCCTGTGATTAAGGTTAGGCAGTTAAGAACAGCAAATCAGAATTTCCTTAGGGTCCATTTTGAGAAAATAATAGATAATTTAGTCATTTGTATGGCTTTATAGGTAAAGTTAAAAAAAAAACATACACAACTACACATACTGACTTCTGGAGTATACAGTTGGTGACTTCATTTCCATGTGATAACTTTTCTGGGTTGTTCGATGGGAAGGTATCGAGTATCTGTAGCTACTGCTCTTTTCATTGCAACAAAAAACACAACAGAACAGGGCTCCTCCAGCAATCAGCACCAGTGCCGTGGTCCACCCTATGTAGAGGGCTTCTCCAAGCTCACGTTTTTGGGCAACATCCACTATTGGGTTGTAGAAATCTCTGATGATGGAATTGGCAACCCAGCTCACAGGGATGAGCACCACTATGCCTGTGATGATGAAGATGATTCCAGAGGTCAGCAGAGTGTGACCCTTCACCTTATTGTCCTCCATGCACCTGGTGCATTTCATGCCAAGGATGGCTATCATGAAAGCCAGGAAGGACATCACGGAAGCAGCACACATTAGTCCTCTGGATGCCTGTAGGTCCGGAGAAAGAGCCAGCAGAGAATCATAGATTTTACACTGCATCCTGATGTTAGCATGCCTCACGCAATTCATCCACAGTCCTTCCCAGAGGTTTTCAAAAACTACAATGTTGCTTTCAATGAAGGCAGACACTCTCCACTGAGGCATGACGGTGACAGCCACTGTGCCCACCATCCCAACACCACCAATCACCAGTCCAGCAATTTGTAAGGCATAGGCTGCCATTATCCTCTGGGATGGGTTTCAGCCGGCTGAACTCCTGAGCTGCTAGATCTGCTTTGAAGCAAGGTTCACTGTGCCACAGGATAGAACAGTTTTTCCTGTAGTAATGAACTCAGAACCCAGTGGTTTTTCAAATAAGAGCTGCTTTGCTACTTCTGGCTAGATAAAATCCAGTGCTGGCTGGCTGAGCTGCCCCTGCTATTGACTTCAACAGGGAAACTTACAAATCAGGTGTGGCAACTTTCTTAGCCAATGAGAGTTGGATGGTAACCCAGGTGTGTCTAAACCAACACTTGGGTCCTTGGAACAGCTAGACCTGCACATAAACATTCTTTATACTTCGCAGTCTTCCAAGAAGACAGCAGTATGTTTACCTTTGGGCATAATTGTAAGTGGTTGCATAAGCATCCAGAAATGAGCCAATCCCTTGTAATGTGAAAGGCGCACCTTGTACAGGCAATTCTGATACTCTTAGTAAGAGCTGCTGGGACCAAAGGATAAAATAAAATATCTGCAGAAGAATTCTGCAACGCTGTCGAAATGCCAAAGTGAAACGAGGATAGGGGATTGAAAGATTGCTTTTACCTGGGAAACCACATTCTTTGGGACACATGTGATCCAAGTGATTGATTTAATTTGTCTACAACTTCAAAGCAAGCTCTAGGCTGGGGTGAAATCAGGGAACAGATCATGCCAGAAGAAAAAATAAGCTAAAGTAATTAAATACACAAGGCTGTCCTTCTCCTTGGCACCTAAAACATATTGGAGTTTTTTAAGCCAGAAAAATTACTCACTGGCATTTTTTTGATAATCTTCATTTATAAAATTTTTTTTTGCCAAAATAAATATCACCAGATGATTTTCTTATGTAGCCAGCACTACAGCATTTAAACCATAAAGTGATTTACAGCTTGCTAGCTTATGAGCTTATTTTGTGGTATTATTCTTGCTGCTTTGTCTTCCTGGGCTGAAGGAGTTAGAATTCTGCAGATGGCACAAGAGCCATCTATGTCTATGGTCTATGCAAATGGCTGATATCTCAAAATAAAATATTTACTAGACAAGGGAACTATATTTACTAAACTGTATTATATTAGGTGTTAACCAAATTTGCTTTCCTACTTTTTAATATCATGTCTGCGGTAGGACATAGAAACCCCTAAATGCAAGACAATTTGAACTTTCCTCTCAAAATAATGATAATCTAGCAGGGGTGCTATACTAAGCATAAATGTTTATCTGAGAAAACTCCACTAGCAATTTTCTTCTGGAGATCAGCTTGAGCTCTCCATCTGATCTTTCTAAACTTAAAGCTGCATTTCATTTATTTTTTCTCCTTAACATCAAAAAACTGATCTTTTCTTTGCAAGTTTACTTTCTCCCTGCTTGATTAGACTACCTTAAATCCAAATATGGGAGAAAATGTTTTCTTCTTGCTTATTAAACTTGGAGAGTTTAATGGTTCAAAAAACCTGAGTTGCTGATGGACATTATTGAAACAAAAACTATGGTAGGAAGGGTGAAGGTAGAATAAAGTAAACTGTCTTCTAAAAAAGGGGTATGATGCATAGTAGTCTGAATTGTTATAATTTTATCACACTGACATTATAAATGTAATAAAAAGTTAAAAAATGTAATATTTACAGAATTTTCTCATTTGTTGACCTGCTAAGTGCTAAACTTCAGGTGTCCCTTAGGCTAATGTAGAAAATATGTGACATTTTCTTCATCAAGTTTCTATCAGCTACAGATTTGTAGTAGAGGGGGACTTAAATTAATCTTGAGAAAATAAGATTTTAAACTCTCAAAGTTTAAGAAGTGAGCACAAACATTGTTTACTATATTTGGATTTAAGGTCATCCGATGAAGCAGAGAGAAAGTGAAATTGTACAGAAAATGTAATTTTTATGATGTAAAGAAGAAAAGAAAATGAAGTACAGCTTTAAAAAAAAGACAAAAAGAAAAAATCACATCTAAACAGGAAATATTTTTAATCTTCAATTGTCAAATTGGGAAAAGGGAAGGATTGGCAGAACTGAAAAATAAAAAAGAAATAATATAACTGATTGAAATACTGATGAACTAAGTGAAGCTACATTGTAAGGGATGTCAAGGCATATGTTGATTCTTTGAAATTCCTTTTCTAAATTCCTGTGTAGTATACTTCTTAGGAGCTCTCTTTAAATATCGCTGGCCTTTCACATCAATACAGGAACACATGAGATGGAAGCAGATAGCTCTGGCTCTGAGTGCCTCAGCCATTGTGAGAGCTGTGTCCCAGGTATGCGTTTGTATTTCTTGGCTTTGTATATTTCCCAACCTCTCTTCCCTTAACCCTTGAACTTTACCAGGAACTTATTTTACATAAAAATATCTTCCTTTTTTTAAAGTATTAGGAACCTTACTACTCATATTGTTCTAGCCGAAAGATGAGGATCTGAATGAGAAATTAACCTTAGGTTCACATTAGAATTATTGTAGAGCTAACTCCCTAAATATCTTCCTTTTTTCAAAGTATTAGGAACCTTACTACTCATATTGTTCTAGCCGAAAGATGAGGATCTGAATGAGAAATTAACCTTAGGTTCACATTAGAATTATTGTAGAGCTAACTCCCTACTAGGAGATGACCCAGGGCATCCAAATAGGTTTCTTATCAGGCAATGATACAGTTAACTCCATAATATTTCTAAATAATCACGTTCTACAAGCCACTGGAATAAAAAGACAGAAAAACAAATGGTAACATTGTGCTTGCTAAAAACAGAGGGGGCCTAAATTCAAAGATAAAAGTAAACTATTTACTTTTCTGTACTGCTGAAATGATTAACTTGGCTACAGAATTCAGGCAGGAGTAATAGAGACACAACAAATTAATAACATTTTTACTCTGATTTAGAACTGCAGAGCAAGAAACATCGACTATTTAATAGTTTGTACTTCCATTTCCATGAAGAACCACAATATTACCAAGAACCCAAGAGAGAAATGAGAGCTCATGTCCACCCCTGGGCATCCCCCTTTGGGCTTTTCTTTCTGTCAACATTACCATAAGGCATGGTTTAAGTTTAGCAATTAAATTTGCTTAATTACATTCAGCCCTGAAAATTGCATAACACAGGCAAATGTTTTTTATTCATAAATGGCAGCATACAAATCACTATCAGATTGTTTTATGCTCCTTAACCCTTAACCTAACTCAACTCCACAGTCTTGAATTTCTATTGATTCTTATGACTCTTTGAAATAATTTTTGCTTCTGCCTATCAAGTAATTGTCAATTTCTTTTGTTTTCTGGATTTGCTTTGTAGTTTTCTGTTGTGATGACAGTTTTTCAAGTATGTTTATTTTTAAGTATGTTTCACTGTTAATTAACCATACTTGGTCAACCATCTTGTCTTGAGTGAATACATGAACATATCAGTAGATCTCTGCATTATTCCCAAAACAATGTTGTGCATTGCTATATGTTCTCTTGAGCCACAATCTTGTTTGTTTTTCATGATGGCCAGCTGTGCTTCCAGTTCTCTATCCTCAAAGTATTCTGTATCCATTAGCAGCCCTCTCTTTTTACTACCTCTGTCTTTTTTTTTTTTTTTAGATGGAATCTCACTCTGTCACCCAGGCTGGAGTGCAGTGGCTCAAACTGGCTCACTGCAACCTCTGCCTCCCAGGTTCAAGTGATTCTCCTGCCTCAGCCTCCTGAGGAGCTGGGATTACAGGCGCACACCACCATACCTAGCTAAGTTTTGTATTTTTAGTGGAGATGGGGTTTCACCATGCTTGCCAGGCTGGTCTTGAACTGCTGACTTCAAGTGATCCACCCACTTCAGGCTCCCAAAGTGCTGGAATTACAGGAGTGAACCATCCTGCCCGACCGCTCTTTTCACCACCTCTGTGTGATCTATTTTCAATTTCTTCTTAAAAATGGACTCCTTCCTGTATAGAAATTGCTTAGTATCTTAGCCAATTCAAGCTGCTTTAACAAAATACCACAGACTGAGTGGCTTGAAAAACGGAAATCTATTTCTCATTCTTCTGAAGTCCCAGATCAGGGTGCCAGTGTAGTTGGGTCCTGGTGAGGACCTGCTTCCCAGTTTACAGAAGGCTGTCTTTTTGAGGTGACTTCACAGAGCAGGGAGAAAGAGTGAGCTCTAGTCTCCTTCTCTTCTTATAAAGACACTAATACTATTGTGGAGGTTTCACCTTCATGGCCTCATCTACAATTCCCAAAGTTTCACTCTCAATACCTCACCTCCAAATACCATCACATTGGGAGTTAATATTTCAACATATGAATTTAGCGGGAACACAAATATCCAGCCCATAACATCTAGCTACTAACAAATTCAAAAAATTGAAATTGTATAATTTAGAAGGGTCTATTCGTGCTTAGGGACTTCACCCATATTATAGCACCCATAAAAATATTTCATTTTTCTAAGATGAATAAAGCCTGGTGAACATGAATTTTAAAAATCAATGATGAAAATAGTGTTATGGACATGATTTTACCTTTCTTCTGCTTTCATTGCATTTTTAAACATTACAACCTGACTGTACGATGAATTCTGACATATTTGAAGGACAGGTCTGTGTACTTTGTGTGATATATTTGATGTCTCTACTAAAGTACTGGAAATCCAAAACAAAGTTGTACACTGCAGAAATTTTCCTATAAATTAATGAATAATTTGTATGTGCAGAATTGATGTGAAACAACCTAATTCTAATGATTTCAGGAAAAAAAATTAAAATAGGAAGAATTTACTAGTAATAGCAGCTACTGAGTATTAAATGTTCTCTATACAATAGGTTCTTTATATCACTCTAATTTATATTTAAAACAGCTTTAGAAAGCAGGGGTCATTACTCCCCTTTTATAATTGAATAAATTAAAACTCAGGAGAGACTGCCTTTTTTAAGACCACACAGACTTTGCTGGTTGAATCTATGGAAATAAAATTTAGAGGTAGACCTAAAGCTCATGTTCTTTTCTGTATTGCCTCCCATCTCCTCAAAGAGAGCTAGAGAAATGGAATTTCTTATATCGGCATATATGGTCACGGTTAATTAGGACATAAAATGTGTTTAAAACATTTTCCTTCTTTGCTTAGCACATTGTTGAAAAACTTTTGCACGGCCAACCTTTGCAATTTTTACAACATACCTGCTTCACTGAAATTTGAAATCTACTGCTTTACTCTATTCAAAGCAGTTTCTA